CGACAATTATGAGAAAAAAAAAAAATAGTTTTGACTTTTTGCTATTAAACATGTCCAGTAAAAAATTACAAAAATCAAATTTTGTCATAAATTTAGGCCAAAATGTATTCTGCTACATGTCTTTGCTAAAAAAAATTCTAATACATGAAAATGAATTGGCTTACGTGAAAGTTTTAGCATTTACAAATGGCGGTATAGATACTGGAATTTTTTTTTTACTAGCAATGGAGGCGATCAGTGAATTATAGCAGGACTTCGGTACTGCAGCGAGCATTCTAACACTGGGGGGGGGGAACTGGCTTGGTGTCACTGACATCCCATGCGACACCAATACAGTGATCAGTGCTAATAAAAAGCACTGACACTGTACTAATGACACTAGGCAGGAAGGGGTTAACATGTGGGGCGATCAAAGGGTTAACTGTGTGCTGTTTCACAGTAAGCTGTATCTTTGCTTTCAACTGTAAGCACACTGATTTGTATGGCTCTGCTATATAGAGCTATACAAAGCAGTGTGCTGGAGCTGACAAGGGAGAGAACTGTATTGTTTACATACAGTTCTCTCCCCCCGTCAGTAATACTCAGCGACCATCTGGTGCCGGCGAGTAATCTCCACCAGGGACTTGGTGATTGACAGCCGAGGCTGCGAACAGTGGCGCGGGCAGGACGCGCGCAGCTCGCAAAAATGTAAAATCATGTATCTATACGTGATTTTGCACGCCCATGCTGCCCTGTAGCAATATTTCTGCTCCAGGGCAGCGGGAGAGCGGTTAATAAATGTACTTTATTTACACTCAGATCATGCCTTCTGCTATGTTTATTTGTTCTCCTAGAGATTCGTCAATGTTATAGAGGTGCTGCACAAAGTGTTTGGAGATCAACAAGAATTCACCCTGGAGTTTACATATGAGGACTTTTCACTTTTCCTGCTGAACTCTATCTACAAATGTTTTATGCATATGGGTATCCTGGAACACTGCAAAAATGGTTCAGTAATGGTTTGAGGGGAAACAACAAGTTTGAGGTGTTGAGTTGGCCTCCCAGTTCTCAATCCATTGAGTATCTAGGATGTATTGGAAAAATCAATAAAACCAACCCATGTTTTTAATATGAACTATTAGACAGGACAATTAGTTTTTTTTTGCAGGCTGGCTGGTAAGTTGAGCTTTGTTGTTGCTTGACATGCATCACCCTTCCATGTGCTCCTTGCTGCAAAGGCCAGTTATAGGTTGGGGCAGTTGCCGTTTGTACTTCTGGTATCTGGTGCCTTGCAGACACCTGCGCAATGTACATAATCTCCCCACGCTGGCCAGATGTGCCACAGGTCTCAGCCAGGTCCTGGAGTCTTGCATCAAAACACTGCATTCTTGGGGTGTGACATGGATATCCCAGGAGATAGCGGGGTTCCTTACGTCATTGTAGCCTATAGGAGAGAGCAAGAAGTGCTGTCCTGCAGCACTAAAACAAGTAATAATCATTTTTTAGAAAGTGGAAAAGTTTTTCAAATATGAAAAAGAGAGAAGGAAGAACTGGTATAGAAAAAGCTACTGTCATGGGTGAAGGTCCACTTTAACAATGTGAAGAATGAACAATAAAGGACTGAAATCATCATCTTCTCTATATTTTTTATTTAGCCATTTTCCTGTGGTTAAAAACAGCTGTTGTTATTCATAGTGACATCATCACCAGGCTTCTAAATTTTTTGCAGGAAAAGCTTTTGGGGGCATGGGTCTACAGGGTGCACAATTGCAGTTTCAATTGACTCAGGTATGCCTTCCAGAACTACATCTCCCAAGAGCTCTTTCCCTACACATGGTGTGATCAGGTTCTTGGGAGTTGAGGCATTGTTTTGCTGAGAAGTAAATCAATCTGTGCATATGGAGAGGGACAGGGATAGGCAAAATTCTGTAGCTCAGCAGAAGAGAATCCCTAATATTGTTGGAGATTTCAATACAGCAATAGCAGCATTACCAACAACAGAAAGGAGCACACTGGATTTATGACAGGGTCAAAAAGTAACCACCTGTGCTTGAGAGTGATGCTTAATAATTTGAAGAATTCTCTACTTGACTGGCTTAAAGGTGTAGCGCCAAGCGTCTTGTTGCCCCCTCAGGACTATGGATATCCTTTCATGTACTAGAAAACAACAACAAAGAGAGGGCGTACCGACCTAGCACATTGCTACAACACAATTTTATTAGATGTATGAAAAACAGGTGATATACTCACAAACGCATGAAATGCACATGCGTATCGAGAAATGCAAATGTCCTAACTCTATAAATTTTGCTTGTGCATGTCATGCGCTTGTGGGTATAGCAACTGTGTTATATACAACTAATAAACTTGTGTTATGGTAATGCTCTAGATCAGTGTGCCCTCTCTTTAATGTTGTTTTTTTGGCAGGGTCATCCGGTAATTTTCTGTACTTGGAGTGTTTTTGACGGAATACAACATGAGAAAATGTGCATGTATTACATATTTGTACTGCATTTTTTTAAAAATGTGTCCCAACTTTAACTTTGAAGATGTAACAACCATGGTGGTCATCTTTATTTTACTAGTTTGTAAGTCATGGAAGAGGAACAACTATGCAGACAGTGAAGTCAAAAACTCCTAACCTGCCCATTTGTTCTGGTTCAATGACTCATTCAAAGCTTGTAACTTTAACAGTATCAGGAATGGGATCTTCCATATCTTTTTCTTGGTTCTCCTTAAACTGCTACTGCATAAATACAAGTGCATACTGTACATAGAACCATCAAATGATTATTCAACAGAAATGTGAATTTAAGAAATTCTTCGTAGTAAAGCACAGATGAGATAGAATTAGCCACTTCACATGATGCTGACTGTATTGTTTATGTACTTTGCTGGCAAGAACATCACAGTCCCGTATCACTAGAAACACACACCGCTATGTAATTAAACAATTTGGTTCACACCATGTAGAGCAGCAGGCAAACAAAGACATTGTCATTGCCAGAGAAGCACTTGGTTGTTATTCAAACATCTCTAGCAAGTGACATTGATGAGCAAGGTGAGCAAACAGCATAAATGTGTTGATGCAAATCACGAAAGGTAAGTGAAAACTTAATTAGCAATGTAAAAAGAGATAAGGCATGGTGGCATCCTCCATTTTTTACACCCCAGAGCCCTTTTTTAATTTTAAAAAAAAATTGTTAACTGTCAGAGATCTCAGACTAGCAAGCACTGGGATTCAGTAGAGACTTTAATATTTAACACTTCTGCTGATTCTACCAGCAGATCTGTTTTCCAAATACATTAAAGTAAAACTCTGGTCAACCAAAAAAAAAAAAAAAGACTTGCAGGAAACAAAAGAGTAGATTTAATTACCTAGCTCCACCTAGCAGCTAGACTGGTCCCTGCAGCTTCTTCTCCCATACACTCCAGCGATTTAGGGTCCTGATGTCATCATGACCAAAGCAGGGTCTATAGCCCTGCGTTGTATGTTATGATGCTGAGGGACAGTCCAAAGTGTGGAGGAGCAGATGGTCAGGTAAGTAAAATGGTTTCTCCTCTTCCCAAAATAAAATTAGTCGTCATCCCTTGCAGTGTGGTGCAGTCCCACTGCAAATGGATTATTTTAAAATGTCCTGGAGTTTGGTGTTTAGGCTTCACAGCAAATGTGTCTGTTGGAGGCACTGGAGAAAACCATATAATATTAGCAAGGGTGGTTACAGCAGTTACTTTCATTCATGTGGTTTAAATCTTTTTAGAAAAGAGAAAAAAACTGATGATGTAACTGCTTAAATATTATTAGCTGAAGTTACCCTTTAATTTGTTTGTCACTCACCTAAAGTCCATCTAAAACTATCCTGTCCACAGGATCATTTTACTGCTGAAGGCATAGCATTGACATAGAACATTGGTCCATGTATCCCTATAGACCTGCAGGTGTAAAACTGACTTGTGCCTGTTTACAACCACCTACCTCTAATTCAATCTGGTCTGTTTAAAAAAAAAATGGAAGAGATTACGTCCCCCTCTAGGTGGATTGGATCTCAGGGCAGTCTGGTGTAAATGGTCAGCCGGTCCTGACCACCCATAGAGCAGGGCAGGATGTGTGTGGCAGGCTGCTTCCGTGTCCACTCTGCATAAACTGAGCAGACATAGACCTGTCATCCTACTCTGAGCCAGCTCTACTCAGAAGGGGATCAGCAGATAGATTCCCTGCTGAGCAAAGCTGATTCCGCCCCATGCAAAAGAAGCCCTACTCTTGCAATTGAATAAAACAGATTTTTTTGGCCACGGGTCAGGGGAAGACAGTAAGTTGCAGTGAGCCACTTCAAAAAGTGAGTTGACTTACATAGTATAAAATGAGACAGTATTGAATAGGGAATGTACAGCACAGTATTTGTGGAGGTACATTGAATGGGCCAGGACCCAACATTAGACATTAGGGCACATGTTTACGGGTTAGTAGTGGATGACCTACTTACTACTGACCCCTGATCTCTCAACTTTGTGTCATTTACTACTGACCTCTGAGTCATTACTGACCTCTGAAACTCTGCATCACTTACTGCTGATCCCTGAACTCTATATCACTGCTGACTCCTGAACTCTGCATCACTTACTATTGACCCCTTCACTTACTACTGACTCTTGAACTCTACATCACTTACTAATGACCTCTGATCTCTGTGTCACTACTGACCCCTGAGTCATTTATGACCTCTGAACTCTGCATCACTTGCTACTGAGCCCTGAGTCATTACTGACCTCTGAACTCACCACATACTCCTGATCCTTGAACTCTGTGTTACTACTGACCCTGAACTCTGCATCACTTACTCCTGACAAGTTGGCGACATATTGCAACATATATCTTTTTCCATTCTTTAAGAACGACCTCTTTTAGAGCCTGGATGCTGGATGGAGAGTGATGCTCCATTTGTCCCTTTAGAATTCTCCATAGATTGGGTTCAGATCAGGAGACATACTTGGCCACTGAATCACTTTTACTCTGTTCTTCTTCAGAAAAGCAACAGTCGTCTTAAATGTGTGTTTTGGATCATTGTCATGTAGGAAAAGTGCACGACGACCAAAGACATGGAATGATGGTAGCATCTTCTCTTTCAATATAGAGCCATACATCTGTGAATTCATGACACCATCATTGAAATGCAGCTTCCCGACACCAGCAGCACTCCTGCAGCCCCACAAAAGGACTTTGCCACCACCATGTTTCACTGCAGACACCATGCATTTTTCTTTGCACTCCTCACCTTTGCGTCACCATACAGTTTTGAAGCCATCAGTTCCAAAAACATTTATCTTGTTCGCATCATTTCAGAGTACAGAGTCCAAGTAGTCTTCTTCTTTTTCAGATTGGACCCTGGCAAATTGTAGGCAGGCTTTTTTGTGCATGCGCTTTAGGAGAAGCTTCCTTCATGGACGACACCCATGCATACCATTTCACTTCGGTGTACGCCATATTATGTCATGGGAAACAATCACCCTAGTTTGGTTTTCTACATCTTTAGCTAACTGCTGTGAAATTGCATAAGGATTTTCATCAATTCCTCTCATCAGAAGACGCTCCTGTCAAGGTGTTAACTTCCATGGACAGCCTGGACATCTCAGTGAGATGGTTGCAGTTCCATCTTTGTTAAAGTTTTGTATCACTTTTACTACAGTTTTCTGACTGATAAGTAAAGCTTTGCTGATCCTCTTGTAGCATTCACTTTTGTCATGTACCTTGCTTGTGAGCCTGACTGAAGAGGAAGGCCCTTTGTGCAGCTCTGGCTCGGGGGGCCACTGAAGGTGGAACAACAACCACAAGAGCACGGTGGGGTATGAGTGCCTTGTCAGTCATGTAGTCTGTGCAGGAATTGCAGGCACTTTAGTGGCAGATGGGACAGCTGGACCGGCTGGCAGCAGAGCAGGCTGGTAGCAGGCAGACATCATGGCTGGACAGGCTGGTGGCAGAGCAGGCTGGCAGCAGGGGCAGATGTCACAGTGGGGCAGGCTGGTAGCAGGCAGATGACACAGCACGACAGGTTGGTTGCAGAGCAGTGTAACACACTGTATGCAGAGTCAGACAGGGCGGGTCAGTAACAGATGAACGGATCAGGCAGAAACAGCAGGCAGAAGAATAGTCGGGGTCACAGGTCAAGGTCAGTAATAGTGGGAGCAGATCAAGCAGAGACAGAAGGCAGAGTCCAAGAAGCAAGTAATTCACAGGTATCGCTCACAGGAACAGGCACAGGAATACAGGAGGGGAGCTGCAGATCAGACAGCACAGGCTAATAGTGCTGCTGGGTTTAAATAGACTAATTGGCACCAACATTAACGGGCAGTCGCGGGTTCGCACATGCGCGAACGCAAATGCTCATGACTAAGCCTAGAGACTTCAGCCGCACAATGGTGAGCATCTTCCTGACAACTTTTGTGTAAATAAATTATTTTCTTTCTTAGGCCTTGTTACATTTCTTTTCCATGTGGTGCCATTGCTGACAGCATGAAATGAGAAGTCCCATAGAAAATGTTGACTCTGAAAGGAAAGGTTTTCTTACAAATCTGTTGGGGTGTACTCATTTATGCTGAGCACTGTATGTACCACTTACTACTGACCCCTGAACTTTTCATCACTTACTACTGACCTCTGAACGTTTCATCACTTTCTACTGACCCCCCCTGAACTTTTCATTACTTACTACTGACCCCTGAACTCTGCATCACTTACTCCTAACTCCTTAAATCTGCATTACTTACTACTGACTTCTGAAGTCTGTGTAATTTACTATTGACCTCTGTGTCACTTACTACATAATTCAGGGGTCCTAAGTAATTGGTGCAAAGTTCAAATATCAGTATTGATACAGAGTACAAAATACAATGCTAAGAGACTATCTTGTAGAGCAAACAGCCCTCCTCTGCACTGCTTTGTTACTTTTCCCTTCCTGCTCCCTGGGAGCAGTAGGTGGGAATAAATGAGTTCAGGGAGAAGGAGAAGGTAAGCCAAACCTCCTTCTGTGTCTCTGCTGCAGCAGTGTTTGTTTATACTAGAGAGGGGGTGGGTGCCAAAGGTCAGTGCAGGAAATAGAGGATGGTGCTGTGAATTGGTAAGCACCTCTCCCACTCCAAACAGATATTTGTACATAATTTCAGGCTTTTTATTCTTTACATACCTTATTTTCCTGTCCCTTCCCATTCCTCTCATGGTGGCCATTCCCTTTTACTTTCTGAAACTCTGCCTGGAACTCCGGGTCTGCCTCCTGGAACATGCACATCATCTAAGAAGTGAGGTCCTGGTTATGTAGACTTCCCAGAATGCATTTGTGAGACTCAGGTTACATCACCAGTGCCTCACTTAATCAGGAAGTTGAAAAACTGTAATTGTAAGTAAAAGCAAAAAATGTTTGTTTAATTAATGTTAGATGATTTCATGTCAGCATGCTGAGCTGTAAGTTGGTGGGATTTTTAGTGAAAGGGGAAAGGTCAACGTTAAGTTGTTACAATCTACAGTTGCAAGAAAAAGTATGTGAACCCCTTGGGATTACGTGGAGTTTTGCATGAATTGGGCATAAAATGTGCTCTGAACGTCATCTAAGTCACAACAATAGAAGAACACAGTCTGCTGAACATAATACTACACAAACATTAGATGTTGCCATGGTTTAATTGCACATAACATGTAAACATTCACAGTGCAGGGAGGAAAAAGTATGTGAGGCTTAATGACTTCTCCCAGAGCTAATTGGAGCCAGGAGTGAGCCAACCTTGACTCCAATTAGTGTGATGATATTGGATGTGTTGCTGATAGCTGTCCTGCCCTTAAAAAACACACACCTGTTTTGGGTTTACTGGTTTCAAGAAGCACTGTCTGATGTGAACCATGCCTCGCAGAAAAGAGCTCTCAGAAGACCTACGGTCAAGAATTGTTGACTTGCATGAAGCTGGAAAGGGTTACAAAGTATCTCCAAAAGCCTTGATGTTCATGTGTCCACGGTAAGACAGACTGTCTACAAATGGAGAAAGTTTAGCACTGTTGCTACTCTCCCTAGGTGTGGTCATCCTGTAAAAATGACTGCAAGAGCACAGCGCAGAATGCTGCATGAGGTAAAGAAGAATCCCAAAGTGTCAGCTAAACACCTACAGAAATCTTTGGCACATGCTAACATTTTTGTTGACACATCTACAATAAGGAAAACATTAAACAAGAATGGAGTACATGGGAAGACACCACGGAGGAAGCCATTGCTGTCCAAAAAGAATATTGCAGCACGTTTGAAGTTTGCAAAAGAGCACCTGGATGTTCCACAGCACTACTGGCAAAATATACTGTGGACAGATGAAATCAAGATTGAGTTGTTTGGGAAGAACACACAACACTATGTGTGGAGAAAAAAAGGCACAGCACACCAACATCAAAACATCCCTGTAAAACATGGCGGAGGGAGCATCATGGTTTGGGGCTGCTTTGCTGCCTCAGGGCTTGCACGGATTGTTGTCATTGATGGGAAAATTAATTCCAGAGTTTATCAAGACATTTTGCAGGAAAACGTACGACCATCTGTCTGCCAACTGAAGCTCCGCAGAGGATGGGTGATGCAATAGGACAATGACCCAAAGCATACAAGTAATTCAACAAAACAATGGCTGCAACAGCACAGAATACGCCTTCTGGAGTGGCCCAGTCAGGTTCCTGACCTCAACCCGATTGAAATGCTGTGGCATGACCTTAAGAGAGCGATTCACACCAGACATCCCAAGAATATTGCTACACTGAAACAGTTTTGTGAAGAGGAGTGGTCCGAAATTACTCCAGATCATTGTGCAGGTCTGATCTGCAACTACAGGAAACGTTTGGTTGAGGTTATTGCTGCCAAAGGAGGGTCAACCAGTTATTAAGTCCAAAGGTTCACATACTTTTTCCTCCCTGCACTGTGAATGTTTACATGTTATGTGCAATTAAACCATGGCAACATCTAATGTTTGTGTAGTATTATGTTCAGCAGACTGTGTTCTTCTATTGTGACTTAGGTGACGTTCAGAGCACATTTTATGCCCAATTCATGCAAAACTCCACGCAATCCCAAGGGGTTCACATACTTTTTCTTGCAACTGTAGTTTATTTATGATTCCCATAGCTTCAGGCATTTTCTTTTTATTTTGTGTGAGACTACACCTGTTGCAGCTGCCCAATGACATGTTGGCCCCTTACACTAAATAGTACCCTAAATAAAAATTGCATTTCTTGCTTATATACTGTAGCTATCAAAAGCTTTCAGATGCCAGCTGATATCCACAATCTAAACTTTCAGTTTTGATTATATGGTTTTTATATATGTTTATTTATGTTTCTCATTAAGCCCAATATTAGTTATGGTTAGAACAACTAACCTAACTATAGTTAGTGCAGCCTTCGCCAAATTGTCATTTTTTTGCATCATATTTCAAAGTCCACCCTTTCATCTATTTTTGCAATAATTTGTTGTGTTTTAACGGGATAAATTTAATTATTATCCATGAAGAATCAGTTCAGTATAGACATTGCAGAATGCCTTGCAAAGCCATTGTTTGAACAAATAAAGCTTTGCTCGCTCTCGCTGTGAATACATTAATTGCTTCACTTAACAGATATGCGTGGGTCGCTCTATAGATCTCAAATTTTCAGCTTCCATTTCTTTACTTTCTTTACAGAACAGTTCATTTTATCTGGTGAACCATCAGAACAGTAATTATCTTCAAACAGAGCATATATTCACTAACAGTTTATTTTTATCCTATGTGTTAGTGAATATCATGATAATGTTTCCTGTAATTAAATTACAAAAAGCACTTAGAGGAAGCAGGCCAATTAGCATAAATATGCTATAACCCATGACAACCAAGCAGATGGTATGCTGTCATGTTGTAAAGGTACCCAAATGAGTTGTGCATGTTCTGAAAGACTGTTTTCCACCAGGTCAAGCAACAATCATCTGATGTCTGTAGTTCTTTCAGGAAAGCTCCTATCCACCAGTATGCTGGAGATAAATTCAGACAAGTTGAAAAAAAATGCTACACCCCTCCCTGCCAATCCCTCCACTGGCTTCCGTTTACCCAACAAATAAAATTCAACATACTAACAATTTACAAAGTCACAATTCTTCCCCAAGCTACATTACATCACTAATCTTGTCTCAAAATATTACCCAAACTCAAAATAATCTCTGCTCCTCTGAAGACCTCCTACTCTCTATCTCCCAACATCTGGAACTCTCTACTACCATCTGTCCAACCATTTCCTACTCCTAGAGGTGATCCCCGAAAACTCATCTCTTCAGGGAAGCCTATCCCACTTCCATCTGTAGCCAGGTGCTGGCTATATCATTATGCCATTCAGGGAC